TAAATTATTCCAGCTCTGAGTTTCTAAGCAAAGTTTCCGTTGTAAAGATGCATATCTTCTGATGGCATCACTTGTCATTTGCTTTTCAACATTCCAGAAATTAACTCCTGACATTATTCTGAAATACAAAACACTTGTTATTACAAATTTTTTCAACAATGACAAGAATTTTTATATTCTACCTTTATTAATTGATATAGAATTTGTTTCATATCTGAATGCATTTAATATTTACATTATATACATTGTATATGTTAGGGTTGTCAACAAGTAACTGGTTACTCGAGTACTTGTAGAAAGTCCAAGTATCGATTAATTAAATTGAAATTGGATAACTTGGAGAAAAATAAAACCATCCATAATTTGTTATTATTTTGACCGTTATTGTGAAGTACATTCTTATTTTAAAGTTTATTCCTCATTTCAGTTACCCAGCTTCAATTATAGATTCTAGCTGTCATGATTGACAACAATTAAACTCATTAGCACCCTGGTCAGTGATGGTGCATTGCCAGGGACATGTCATAATTGGAATTCAGGGACAGATCAAATTAATTCAATTACCGGTAATTTGAAAAAAACATGGATTCTTTTATTACTACATAAAACAAAATGCTTTGTTCTATCTGGAAATATTTAAAACAAGTATAATGTCAACTATGTGAACCTGAATTTACTTATGCAAGAGGGTCAAACAATATACCCGGTATGTTAAATTGCTTATATAATATATATATATATATGGCATAGTGACATCAAAGTATCAGTGAAAAAAAAGAGCTGTTTTAAAAAAATTGAAAGAAAATAAAAAAAAATTTCAGGCACACAATCTGATGATATAACACAAGCAAAATAGTCAGTTGTGAGTTGTCAAGAGCATGATTGTTAAACATTGAAATTCATGAATATCAGATATGTTTATGTTCTTTTATTGATTATGCATTCCTAACTTTCCCTGCATCAAAACTGATGGCTATCATAATTTTCTACATTCATATTTGGGATTCTATCTTTTTCTTTTCATTCCAGAGTTAATTAATGCTAGCATTCAGATCAAAATTATATTCAGTTACAAAGAACAATATACAAATTTGAAGATACCTGTATATAAGTTTAAATTCAGATTTTTTCTTGAATAATGACCGAGTACACGGTACACCAGTACTTAAACAGAATAACAGGCAAGTAATTGGTTACAAAAATTTGTCGATTTGACAATATCCTAATATATCACCTTGAGTATGAACTCTGTCATTTAAGTAATTAGTGTAGGAGAATTTTAATTTTTCCCAAGATCTATTGCACAAAATTCAAGCAGAAGTATAAAGTAGCAACATTTGGAAGGGGGTTCATGTTTATCAGAGAAATTGAATGCAAGTTACAACTTTCAAAGGGAGATAATTAGCACAGAATTGAAGAAGAGGGAATGGGATTGTAGCATTTATTATTTTGTATGAGTGAAGAATGCCATGGGTTTAAAACAACTGCCTTATACAGAAACCTGGTAATGTATGCATGTGATTTCCATGTATATTTTTTTCCCAACCATGATGTCTGAGGCTTTACTGAAACCATATGATGGGGGAAGAACTAATTGACAGAGATAATTATGATACTGAATTTCAATTTTCCTGTAAGAATTTTTTTTTTTAAATAGAAAGGATATAGTTGTATTTGTTTGAGTTAATCAAAGGTGTAGCTCAAAACTTTATACATGTAATATACATGTATATTTTTCTCCCAACCACGGTGTCTGAGGCTTTACTGAAACCATATGATGGGGGAAGAACTAATAGAATTGACAGAGATAATTATGATACTGAATTTCAATTTTCCTTAAGAATTAAGAAAAAAATAGAAAGGATATAGTTGTATTTGTCACAAGTACTTGGGTCTTGGTTTATAAATTTGTATGTACCTTATTGATATGTAAAAAAAGTACTTTTTTTACATATCAATAAGGTACATACATATTTATAAACCAAGACCCAAGTACCTGTGGTATTTGTTTGAGTTAATCAAAGGTGTAGCTCAAAACTTACTTGCAGTGTTTTATAGTAAAGGCATGATACCAAATCAATTTATAGTGTGCAATAGTATATGTTTCATTACCTCTAGAGGAGGTCCTCTTGAAGGAATTTAGTAAATCCTGCACGATGAGAGAGGATAAAAGGTACATCAATGCACTCAGGAAGTTGTTCTGTAATGCACAACTCCCCAGACAGAAAATAGTGGGAAGTTCCTGCAGATTTGCAAATGTAAGTCCGCATAATTAAAACCACTGGACCATTTTTATCATAAATCCATCGAGGAGGTGTTGCAGAGCTGATTCTCCATTTCCCTGTTGTAAGAAGCGAATCGTGTTCAGGACACATGAAGTGTTTGTCTAGTAGGATAGGATACTGATTCATTGGATCCCAGAACAATACCCTTGGAAGGAGATAATGCCATACCATAGGTTCTTGCATTTCACCTGTCCACCTAACCACAAAAGGCTCAATGATATTTGGATTCTTGGCTCCATCTTCCTCAGAGAGTTTCTCAATGTATTTCCACACATTTTCATTGTACAGTTCAAGAGAATGAACATAAAATACAAAGAACAGAATTTGCAGTGTGATTTTCATTTCCATATTATACGTATTGATATTTCTTCAACTCCCTTCTTTTTACTAGGTTATTCATTACCTATAAGCCCATGATATTGGTTTAAGATGATCCTAATTAATTTATGTCTTTATGGTCATTATCAAGCAATATCAATGACCATGTCTTTGTGATACCAGTAATTAAAATGTTCCTGAAGAGCATATAAGCAGGTGTTTTATTACATATGATGTGCATGTCAAGTCATTATCTTTGTATATTAAATACTTCTTCAGTTCTAAATCACCCTGATGATAAGTATGTTACGATCAAAGAGGAAATACATTATTACAAACAGTGATGCTCAGCATGATACAGTTATTATTTTTTATTTACAACATATGTACCAGGTTATCATGTTGTTAACTTTGTTGAAGTTTGAAATGTGATATATAACAAACATTACTAAAATTACTACCCATATGATAAAACATAAACTAAATGAAATGTTTTTACAGAATCTTTTAACAATAAACATTCAGTGTAACTGTTAATTAGTAGAGTTATCTCCTCTTGAAAAAATCTATGGGGAAAAAAAGATAATTTTTAACTTTGCATGTTGTGCCGCTGAATGTCTTTATTTTTTAACTGCATGTATAAATTAAATAAGTTAACACACATACTTTTGCCATATTGGCTTCTATGTTGAACAAATTAAGCCACAGCCATCTTTTATAAGATAATTTTGAAACAATCTCATAGTAAAGCTTCTTTTACTTTAATTTATGAAATAAATACATAATTTCCTTTATTTGACATATTGTCAAGAATTAATATATTAACTTTTTGCGACTTATGCCATGTATGCAGGGATACTTTCGGTTTAATGGTCATAATGACATCATCAAGCAATATTCATATATATATATATATATATATATATATATATATATATATATATATATATATATATATATATATATATATATATATATATATACATACATACATACATGTAATATATATCTGTGCAAATAAGAATATTTCAAAAAATGAAGTCAGATGTTTAACATTATATATGTACCTAATCACCTTAGGTTTTGTGTTACATTGGTGGTAAGTCTGTATCTGACTGCCAAGTTATCAATTACTGTAAATTGCTTAATTAGCATAATAAATACTTTGTGGCTGGTACTGACCAGGATTATGCTGTTAATTGAATTCTTTTCAAATAAATTATCAAAGTACTGCCTCTGACTTCACAAGATGCTCTGTTTTGGACAAATGCCACTCAATGCCGCTGACTCTACCAGAAGCACTGTGTTGGACAAATGCCGCTCAATGCTGCTGACTCTACCAGAAGCACTGTGTTGGAAAAATGCCACTGACTCTACAAGAAGCACTGTGTTGGACAAATGCCGCTCAATGCCGCTGACTGTACCAGAAGCATTGTGTTGGACAAATGCCGCTGACTCTACCAGAAGCACTGTGTTGGACAAATGCCGCTCAATGCCCCTGACTCTACTAGAAGCAGTTTTGGACAAATGCCGCTCAATGCCGCTGACTCTACCAGAAGCACTGTGTTGGACAAATGCCGCTCAATGCCGCTGACTTTACCAGAAGCACTGTGTTGGACAAATGCCGCTCAATGCCGCTGACTCTACCAGAAGCACTGTGTTGGACAAATGCCGCTCAATGCCGCTGACTCTACCAGAAGCACTGTTTTGGACAAATGCCGCTCAATGCCGCTGAAGTTACCAGAAGCTCTGTCTTGGACAAATGCCGCTGAATGCCGCTGACTTTACCAGAAGCACTGTGTTGGACAAATGCCGCTTAATGCCGCTTACTTTACCAGAAGCTCTGTCTTGGACAAATGCCACTGAATGCCGCTGACTTTACCAGAAGCACTGTGTTGGACAAATGCCGCTGAATGCCGCTGACTCTACCAGAAGCACTGTGTTGGACAAATGCCGCTCAATGCCGCTGACTCTACCAGAAGCACTGTGTTGGACAAATGCCGCTCAATGCCGCTGACTTCACCAAAAGCTCTGTGATGGACAAATGCCACTCAACACCACTAACTTTAGCAGTAGCTCTTTCTTTAACAAATGTAGCTCCCACCCACCAACCCTTTTCCTCTGATTTTCGTGACTTCTTACATGAAGTATGAACCACATATGGCTATAAAAATCATCACGAAATCAAACATCATGACTGTTAGTCCACTTGAATTTATTCAATTATACACATATATATGCACATAAATCAATATATTTGTACATTTCATAGGTCTTTATTTGAAATATTTAAACGACTTTTATACCATGTTGTGGAATTACACAATGACTGGACAAATATAGGCAAATTAGATTACAAAGCTAAATAATGAATAAAGAGTATTCAAAGATTACAAAGCTAAATAATGAATAATAGGTAATCAAAGATTACAAAGCTAAATACTGAATAATAGGTAATCAAAGATTACAAAGCTAAATACTGAATAATAGGTAATCAAAGATTACAAAGCTAAATAATGAATAATAGGTAATCAAAGATTACAAAGCTAACCTCAACGAAAGTTATATTGGTAAAGCAAAGACTCACATGAAAAACAAATTCTGGTAGTGCACATTTCTAGATGCATCATCCATCCAATTTTTGTCATCATAGGGCTTATCGTTACTTGGGAATGAATGTTAAAAGGTGTGGAACAGTGACGAGCAGTGAACAATCTCAGAAACGCAATAAAAAATTCAAATCGTGAATAGAGCAAAAACACAGAGCACTAGAATCATCAGAAGTCGGATCAAGTACCCAGGAGGAGTAAGCGTCCTCTGATGACCGGTCACACCCGTCCTAAGCGTCCTCTGATGACCGGTCACACCCGTCGTGAGCCCTATGTACTGATTAGGGGGACGGAGTACTCCGTAGTAATCATGGAGAGGGCTTATATAGGCAATGTCTGCTTCCCAATCCATTTATATTCCATTACATAATAAAGTATGTTCAAATAAAAAAAAGTAATCCGTAGACAAATATGGTAAACAAGCATTGACCTAACAATTGATATGAAACGTCTCAGACAAAATACTACCCAAAGAGTGGTTGTATTTGCAAACAAGGTCATTATCACGACCGTAGAATTCGGGGAACGCTGACTTTAAATGAGGTTGTTGAAATCCCTGTAAAATCAACTTACTTGTCAGTAGCATGTTTCAGTTAAAAAATGTTCGTGCTGAGAACATGCTCTTAAGTGTCGAATAAATTTGGAGATATAGAAAGCATATGCAGGTTTTGGAATATGACTACAAACATAAGTAAAGTTGGCGATAGAACAGCTGAAGTCATCCCGTGTGTCAAACAGTTTAGTTATTCATTGGCCATTATCTTCTGTAGTCAGTAAAGCATTCAGGTATGAAATAGATCTAGCATACTGTGGTGTCTTTTATTTCGAATTCACTAGGATATATTGAGATTCGAAATATGAATGAAAATAACCATAAGGGCTCACAGTTACTTGGGAATGGGCCTGTTCCAAACACAGATCTGGTAAATGTGCATACTTAGATGAAGCATCAACCTGCACGTTTTGTCTCCATTGGGCTCATATATGTAATTTCTTGAGAATGGACCTACTCCTTCTTTCATCTGGAAAATATATCGTCAGATACCGCATCCGAAGCAAGTCTAGTGGTGTGCACCGCTAGATGCATCAATCATGCAAGTCTGGTCAGCATTTGGCTAATAGTTACTTGGGAATGGACCTTAAACCGGGACGCCAACGTTAAAACCGACGCCAGAGGTATAGCATAAGCTCATTTCGTCTTCCTTGAGGTGAGCTAAAAATTGCCTGACAGTAAATTAAACTTTGTATCTTTATGGAAATGAATCGTAAATTGCAGTGAAAATACTAAAGAATGCCGGTCATCGATCGTTGAACATTCTTATCATGTGAATTAATGAACGCTTACTGCTTTATTAAAGAAAATAATTGGCTAGGGCACAATTGATTCATATATCATTTTTGATACTTGTAAGACAAGGTTATAGTTAAAAGTGACAACTCAAGAGATTACTTTATGAAATATGTGAAACCTATAGTTTTGTTAATGTTATTTTATGTAAATAATGTGTGAAGCAAAAGGGTGGCTAACTCAGCTAAAATAGGCCACTTCAATTAAGAGAGCATGGTGCCAATGAATAACTGTTAATCTTATGCCTAGGGAATAACTGACATGCATTTCATTACGTAGTTAACTAATACTTGTGCTCTTATTACTTTAAATGTTTCAAAAACAAATCGACTGATTGATGGAAAATATGAAATTTGTGCATTTCATACAAGAAATTAAACAACTAAACACTGGTTGCCTTTAATAAGACGTCTTTTGGACCATAAGTCACCCCGAGAACCCCTTTCAATGGTGGTATCTGTTTGGGATCAGCAGGAAGGATTTTAAATCGCTGCACCATAGATGAAGCAAACAGAAACAATTCCATCCTAGCCAAGGATTCTCCAAGACAAACACGACGACCTGAGATAAAAACAAAGGATATAAATAATAATAAAAATAAAAATATTGAACGGGCGATTGCATTGTGAAATTATATTTATAATGGACACAAAAAGGTATCTCATCTTTGACGGGTTTCTAATGAAAAAGAAAATTGAACAGGCGATTGTAAAAATACATTTACAATGTATAATGGACGAAAAAGGTATCTTTGACGAGTTTCTGATGGATGACACACAATGTGATCAATTCTGTACCAAAAATGCAACTATTGCTGGAGAAGCAGATAACAATTACTCTTTCTATTTACTTAAGTCTTTAAAAATCTTTTTAAAGTGCATCATTTTTGACAATGCTGATATGAAAAATCTGATCAAATCAATCACTAATTTAAAAACCCATATCAATTTAATCCTAGGAAATTAAAACTCTTACCAAGTGAGAATGTCAAGACTTTGTCTGTGTTAATCAATTTTCCCTCACCATCCAAGAATCTCTTCGGTCGGAAGACTTCAGGATCTTCAAACACGTCTGGGTCAAAAAGTACGGAATATAGATTAGGAATTAAAATAACATCTTTCGGAATAATAAATTCTTTGTATTTTAAATCAGTTTTTAATCCATGAGGGAGAGACAAAGGGACGAGACATCCAATACGAAGAACCTCATGAAGAACTGCCTCTGTGTAGGGTAGATTTGGTCTGTCCTCCATTGTAGGGTACCTGGAATTTCCTATGACGTCATTGATTTCGTTTCGCATTTTTTCTTGCACTTCCGGGTTTCTGATCATAAAAACAGCAAACCACCTAAGAGCTGTAGATGTTGTTTCCGTTCCAGCAGTAAAGAAATCTAGCAAAAGCTTCACCAACTGTTCATCTGGAAAATAGTTGTATGTTTTACATTTTTAAATCTAAAAACGACCCTTAAAGTAAAAACTCACACACTCTTTCAAATGCCAACAAAAACTTCATTTCTATTATGCATTCGGCGAGGAGTATGGTAGACGATGGGCTTAATACGAAAGGGAAGACCTTGACATTGTCAGAGTGGATAAAGATTTAGCTTGGAAATTGTATATTTTTACACCAAGGGTCAATTTATCTTTTAATAACACATAAATCTTTAAAAAATAGCAACATTAAGAGTAATTATTTTTACACAAAGGTTAACATTTACTCTTAATCTAATGTTTTTGTTTTTTACATTGAGGGTTCATCTACTTAGTATGTAGAATACTGAAGTAAAAACTAAAGCTTATGATTGCGTACACTTACTTGTTACTTTTTTTTTTTTGCCTGCAAAGTCAAAATACCTTTATAAACTTCAAAGACGTATTGCTTCGTGCAACTCTCTCATAGTTTATAGATTAATAATTCTGTTAGATTAACTCACCATCAAAAGTCGTGTTTGGGTTGCTCTCTTCTGATTTCATTTTCTTCAAATACACATCGATGAAATCTCTAACATTGTTTTGATCAAAGCTTTCTTTGTGATCGCTGATAATTTTTGAAAGATACTTTTCCAACAATTCAAAATTCTTCAATACTTTTCTAATCTTTAACGGATCACCTGGAAAATACCTCAAAAACGGAAGAAAGCTCGCTAGAAATATCAAATTTCCATTGCTTGAGTTTTCGTTTATTGCTTCGATGAGTGACTTAAAATTTTTGTCGCTATGTTCAAATCTTTTACCAAAGTTAATGGAACACATGATATTTGAGACGCATACCGTTATCAAAGCTTGCATATTGAATGGTTGTCCATTTGTTGACTGAACTTCGTGGACAAAAACATCCACCTCCTCCAATATTTTAGATTCCAAGCTTCGTTTTCCAAATCCAAACTCTCTGAGAGCATTTAGACTGAACGTTCTGTGCTCTTTCCAAAATTCTCCAGAGGAAAAGATGACACCTTTATGTAACAAGAGACCCAAATATCACAACGATCACCATGTTAAACATTGTTTGTCTATTTTCTCATAAAAATTTTGACCGTATATTTTATCACAATTTTTGTTCAATCCTAGGATTTACCACCATATGATTACCACCATATGCCTTAAATGTACTTTAAGGAGGGATTCTTGTCTGGTTTCTGACTAAATGAAATATTCAAAGTATATTTGCTTATATGTATTATATATTTTGATGTAAGAGATTTAAAAGATCATATTTTTCTTTCCTCCGCACAACTGTATAACTAAGAATAAAAATGGTAAACCGAGTTTGAAATCTAGCAGGAACTATATTTTTGGCGGAACGGCGGTGTTTAAAAATATCTCCTTTAATGCTTCTCAAAATATCTACTAAACAATGAATTTATCTAGAAATTTTAAACAATAAGAGACTTAATGAAATTTTCTTATGGAACTGAAATTGATAATTATGGACTAAAGTTTAAAATATATCAAATAAATATGATTTTCCAAACAAATTACAATCTTGTTAACTTTTGAAAGCTTCCAGTCTAAATCTCTAAGAACAGATTTGAGCTAAAAATTAGTAAAATGTGTTTTTTTCTCTCTTATTAAACGGTCAAAACTTTTTGTTTTTATATCATTTTGTCTCTTTATATAATTACTTTGCCATATGTGAAAATTAGAAAAATTTAAATATATGAAGCATATAAAAATAACCAATATTCCCTTAAAATTAAAGAAAAAGAGAGGAAATTCGGGTTAGCCGATAACTACTTTAGTTAAATTATTATTGTCAATTTAGTACTATCATCTGGTAGACCTTATATAGCAACATCATTTTAAGCAAAAAGAAGAACATTTTATCTTCTGAAATAGCAATAGGCATCACATGATTGGCAACATAATTTTTTTCATTCTATATGTTATTCAAAATGATAATGACCTTGACCTGACCTTGCTTCTAAAATAAAACGGTCAAATTAATTCTGATACCATCACTTGATATCCTCTTCTTGAATCTTTGAAAATTTCATTAATTTCTAAATACAAATAAGTACGCTGGGACAAATTTCCGCGGACAATGTGACAGCGTACATAGCGTAAATTAATACCACGCTGAAAAAAAGTACTTTTACATTACCTATTTTATCCTCAAAGCTCAGTGAGTCATGTTTTGAATCAATATGAATTCGCAGTACATTGGTATGCATGTTTATCAATACGAGTATTTGTGACATTGCTGTTTTGGAATAAATATAAAAGATTTTTCATATATATTCAAGATGCTTTGTCCTGGTGGCCCCAACTATACCTCGGGGCCATGGTTGGAAAAAAAGTTTTATTCGATTTTTATTACTGCCTGATTTTTTGAGTTCTTTCTAAAGTTTTTTTTCTCTCTCCATGCATTTCTTGGAGATGAATTATTATCTCCTACTTTGACCCATCTCTATACCCGCAGGCCATGATTTGAGCAAACTTAACTGCCTTGAAACTTTCTGAGGATGTTTGCATATGTGTATGTAAAAGTAGAAAAAAAAAACTAAAAAAAGACCCCCTTTAATTATGCTAAGAATATGGTCATATGCAATCTGATAGAGGTTCAAGACATCAGACCCCAAGAATATATAAGATATATATCATTATAAACACAAATTAATTTTCAAATGGTGTCTCTGGTAAAAGTATACAAAAATTACAAATTGTTTTAAAAATTATAAAAAATGACCCCAACAAGTTTCTGTATATATCTAACTACGAATATTGTAAAATATTAGTCTTATACCTTTATACTTGGTTATTACTTTGGTTACAAAAAGATCTGGCCTTTCGGAAACGACGTCCCCATGCCTAATGAAAATATCTCGAATGGTGTCCATTCCATTCACAACAACCATTGTTTTGGTACCTGTAATCAAGCTGAAAACATCTCCATACTTTTTTCTGTAAGTCTGGAAATTCTCCAACATAGTATCAGGAGACACAGAGAGTAGATTTCCTAGGAAAGGAATAGTGGGTGGACCTGGGGGTAAGGAGGAGTCCCTAGAGGTTTTCTTCCACCACACGCACAAAATAATAGCCGCACAAGCAAGAAAAAGTGTCCACAAATCTATCATTATCTTTCCTTGAAAGTCAGTTGTCGATGAGTATGGCACGCAGTAATAATCTTCTCAACTGTAAAATCTTGTTTGTTTGTTTATTTGCTTAACGTCCCTTCGAGAATTTTTCATTCATATCACAGGAGTTCGCAATTTTAGCATAGCTCATGGCTTGGTCAATCGAGTGATTTCTATTGACTTTATTGATAAAATTGCGAACTCCTGTGCTCATATTCAGACGCCACCACTTGCCGGTGGAGGGCTGCAAATTTAGACCTTTACTCGGCACTTAAGACCCTTGAGCAGTGGGGGTCTTTTTCGTGCCAGCACCTACTGCGAAACGGGACCCCTGTTTATACGGCCTCATCCGAAGGACCGGTCTTTAAATCCCGCAGTGTGATCCGAACCCGCGGAGTAAGTATCAACTCCTTACTCAGCGATTCTATGGCTAACGCTCTAACCACTGCGCCACGCGGGCGACCTATAAAATCTTATTTGGTTTGTTTTGTTTGTTATTTATCTGTGTCCATGACAGTTTAAATGTTTATTTTGAATTCGATGTAGTTATTGAGATAAAACATTTAGAAATGCACCTCTGATAATAAAGGAGGCCTGTCACACCAAGCTGCGTCCACACGGAGTTATTACGGCGTTGTAAAAATTTTAAATTTGCAGTGAAATCGCAGAGAAATTGCACAAAATTCTGTAAAATATTTACAATGTGAAGATGTCACGGCGTCCCTACGGCGACCCACTCGTTTCTACGGCGTTCTCGCGGCGTGCTACTGCGTTCCCATGGAGATCTCTTCGCGATTGACTGCGCTTCCGCGGAGCCTTTACGGCGTGTTAGGAGTTGTCATCTCACGTTCACGGCGTTCTCACTGCGCTTGCTGCGTTCACAATACGTTCACAATGCGTTCTTCACTATGGATATATATTCAGAAGGAGTGTAACACATTTTTTTTTAAAGATTCAAGTCACATGACGAAAAGACTTCTACTTACGCCAAGAAATATTCTTTAATTAAAAATGATCTATTTGAATACCGGTAATTTAGTACTAAATTGCTGATAGTTTTATTATTGAAACCCTTCTTTTTTCAATTTTATCAATTCAGATGTGTTTTTTTTCTTTGATTTTATTATGAATGTAAAAAATAAATACACTGAACAATTGTTATAAAATTTAAGTAATTCCATCGCAACTCCAATGAAACAACAAAACAAGTTCTGGTGTAATTTTAGCTTTCCAATTCTACTCCCATGCTCCTGGTCAGGAGTGCAACAAATACGTTAGAATTATTGCTGATCAAATATGAGGCAATTGCTCTTGTTTTGTGAGCTGGCTGACAACGCTCTAACAACGCCGTGAAAGCGTATTGTGATCGCCAACGGACGCGATAGAAACGCCAAGGGAGCGCAATGTTCGCAGTGACAACTCCTTGTTGTCGCTGCGTAATCGCACTCAAAAATATCATAAGACAATTAATCTCATTAGAAGCCCGCAAAAGCGCGATAGAAACGAAGTGACATCTCCAAGGACTCCGCGAGGTCTCCGTGGAAGCGCAGTCTACTATCACTGCGTTCATGCTGCGATCATGTGCGTCTTCACGGCGTGCCTACGGAGCTCCCACTGCGTTGTTGGAGATCTCACCGCGCTGCTACAGCGATCATACTACGTTTCTACTGCGTTCTTATCAGACGGCGATCACACGGCCGTCATGCCCAAAGTGCGCGCCGTCTCCTGGCGTTCTAGGAGACCCTACGCGACCCTACCGCGTTCAGTGGAGATCTCGCCGCGTTGTCACGGCGCTGTAGGAGACTCTACTGCGCTCACCTCTGCGTTTTGCATTTTTTACGGACGCCGTGCGATCGCCGTGACGACGCAGTCCCGGTGTGACAAGGGTTTAAGGAAAAAGTGTACACAATCAAAAATCGATCAAACTTGTTTCCCTTTATTGCTAATTGTAGCCATCTTCTTTCCAAATCAAATACATGTAATTGTGCATCATCTTTGTATCGAATTCAAATTTTATTAGGCATTTCACTGTGCAGTTTTACTTATTTAATTATGTAAAAAATGTGAAGATAACGAACAGCGATCGATCTCATAAAAATCCAGTAAACAAAACGAATCGTGAACAGGGCAAGAAACACGGACCCCTGGAAACACCAGAGGTGGGAGTGGGACTGGCTCCGGGGCCATTTCCTTTGGAATTTATAATGGAAAAGTAAGACTGAGATCAAGAGTGAGAACATCTAAGTTTATGGCCCCGGAGCCTGATGCCTATGAAGAGTAAGCATCCCCTGTCGACAAAACACACACACACACCGTGAGTCCTATGTATTTATTACAGATACGGAGTACTCAGTAGTCAAAATTAGTATAAAAGCAATGACCTAACAAAATGTATAAAACATGCCAGACAAAATACGACCCAACGATAGGTTGTATTTACAAACAAGGTCGTTATAACGACCGTAGAATTTGCAAAAAGCTGACTTTAAGAGGGGTTTTTGAAATCCTTATAACAGAAGATTATTTGTCAGTAGCTTGCCTCGGTGTAAAAATTGATCGTACCCAGAGCATGCTCTTTCGTACCAAATCAATTGGGAGACATGAACAACCAGATGCAGGTGATGTTGGAATATTACTATATAAACTATATAAATAAGGAAAGTTGATAGTAAAGCTGGTCATCCCGTTTGTCATACAGTAGTTAAGTTGTTAGTTGGTCATTATCGTCTATAGTCAGTAAACATCCAAATATGAAAAAAGATGTTGCAGACACTGTGGTATCTTTAATTCCGAGTTCACTGGGATATATCGAGTCATATCGAGTCGATATATTAGTAAAAGTAACTACAGTTAGTTGATAATACATCGTCGATTTGTCTAAATTTCGAGTTGAAGAGTTTTCTTCTGATGAAATAGATGTTTTGGAATAAATCCTGCTTCAAAGGAATAAAAAAAACCAGGTCGGCTAATAAAGGAGCACCGTTAGTACCAACAGTAATTCCAACAGATTGTTTGAAGACCTTGTCTCTAAAGACTACATAGATATTGTCAATGAGGAACCCCAACATCTTTTAAATATCAACTTCAGAGTACTTGCATGTAGAAGCAGAACGGTATTTAATTAAGTAATTGTGTAGATAACCAATCACAATATATCAAATTTTGCGAGTTCCATTTTAATTGAGGAAGCAGTTGTCTGTGATGTCAAACAGCCTGGTCTTTAATTTATCGTAAGGAATGGTTGTATAAAGCGTAGAAAAGACGTATGCTTTGATGCTTTTGATGTTTGAAAAGTTTTAAGATTTCAAATTTTCCATAAACTTTTTGGAGTTTTTAGAATCCAACATTTGATTTACACCACTTCTTGAATATGTAGTTGTGCAATACGTCTGAAGTTTCTCGTGAAGTCTGAAGTGTTGCAGTAGTTAATATTTTGGTGAGGAGTAAGGATAGGGGCTTGGATAAACATTTACTGGGCCCTACAACATATCTTTCTTTGTTAGGATTTCTATGAAGTTTTCGAATCCAGCATAGGTAAGGTAAATCAAACTCACTTCCATTGACTGAAATGTTAAAAGTATATTAGTCCACTTTCATAATAATAATGATACATAATAAGCTACCTAATATCAACTATTTATTGAATCAATTCTATCTGTGATTACCAATCGAATACATGCCTAGGAAACCGAACTGAAATAGATATATACATGTTCTGAAATATAATTGATATACTTAATTGAAATATGGATATACATTCTGCTCATTTCATAGGTCTTTAATTGTCTGTGAGTTTTGCAACTCTCATACCATGTTTCGAATATACATGCTGGGAAAATATTGTACTTATATACAGCGTTAAAAGATGTAATGGAGTTATCCATGCATGCAAGTTAGGTCAGAATAGCGCTTATGCTTACTTGGGAATTGAACTGCTCCAAATAGTATGAACAGTCTCTCATTCAGAAAATGTAAGTCATATGCAGAATCCCAAGCAAGTTCGGCAGTGTGTATCCTTGATTGCGTTATCCATATAAATTTTGTCATAGTCACTTGAGAATGTGTCTGCTTCAAAAAAGTTTAACAAAAAAGTGATCATTTAGAAAATGTAGGACGGATGCAATTCCGATGTGCAATAGTGTGTATGTATATCTCTAGATGAACTAGGTGGATCACTCGTGCATGCTTTGTCCTGATAGGGATTTTGGTTATATGAGAATGGATTAGCTCCTAAAAGAAATCTGAAACCGACACCGACGACACAAGTACAGCAGCTCATCTCTACATCGTCAAAATGTGTTTAAAAAGAAGATAAGAAAATATGAAATTTGTGCATTTTATATACAAGAAATTAAACAACTAAACACTGGTTGCCTTTAATAAGACGTCTTTTGGACCATAAGTCACCCCGAGAACCCCCTTCAATGGTGGTATCTGTTTGGGGTCAGCTGGAAGGATTTTAAATCGCTGCACCATAGATGAAGTAAACAGAAACAATTCCATCCTAGCCAAGGATTCGCCAAGACAAACACGACGACCTGAGATAAAACAAAGGATATAAATGATAATAAGACAAACACGACAACATGAGATAAAACAAAGGATACAATAAGACCGACACGACAAACTGAGGTAAAAACAAAGGATATCATAAGACAAACATGACAACCTCAGGTAAAACAAAGGACATAACAAAACAAAAACGACGACCTAAAATAAAACAAAGGATATAGTAAGACACACAGGACGACTCGAGATAAAGGATATAATAAGATAAACGTGACGACCTAAAATATCGTAAAGTACATTTGACATTAAATGAAACAAAGATTCTTTTCTCTGTCTTGGTAGGTATCTATATTTCCACATAGAAATTGTCAAGCGCATGTTGCAAAAATTTAGCTATAACCCCCCCCCCCTTTTTTTTTAACAAGGCTATTTCAAATGATCTGGTCATTTTTCCAAGTACTGAAGCTTAGTTATTTGTTCAAAATAAAAGGCGTATGTCTTCCATTCGCGGATCTAGAGGGGAGTGTGTGTGTTCCAGACCCCCCCCCCCCCCTGGAATTTGCAGAGTTATTAAAATTATATACTGAAGCAAATAAAAAATGACCTTGGACACCCCCCCCCCCCAGAAAACCCCAAATCCCACCACGAAATGGTTTTTCACATTTTGGAAGTGGATCTTAACTTCTTTTTTCTCAAGAAATTTCTGGGTTGGAATTTTTTCACTGATCCCCCCCCCCCCCTGAAAAAATCCCTTTATCCGCGCCTATCTTCGATGCTATTGTGTGTGCAAGATTGAAAAAAATTGTAGGGCCGTTCTCTTTTACAAATATATATCAACCAAATGTTAAAGAAAATATCCAAAAGTTTTGGAAGGAATTTTTAACCTAACATGTACAGGAAAAATACTGTACACAAGTCAATTCTGCATAGTAAAAATACAGAACGTGCATTTTTAGTTGTTTAAAAATGTTACTATGTTTATAAATGGATCACTTCTGGCGACATAGATAGTCTTCAAAATCTTTACAAATCTGACAAATTCATTTTTAAAATACAAAAATCCTTATAGATATCCGTGATGGAACCAAGGGAAATTAAAACTCTTACCAACTGAGAATGTCAAGACTTTGTCTGTGTTAATCAATTTTCCCTCATCATCCAAGAATCTCTGCGGCCGGAAGACTTCCGGATCTTCAAACACGCCTGGGTCAAAAAGTACGAAATATAGATTAGGAATTAAAATAACATCTTTCGGAATAATAAATTCTTTGTATTTTAAATCAGTTTTTAATCCATGAGGGACAGACAAAGGGACGATACATCCAATACGAAGTACTTCGTGGAGAACTGCCTCTGTATAAGGTAGATTTGGTCTATCGTTTATAGTAGGGTACCTGGTATTTCCTATGACGTCATTGATTTCTTTGCGCATCTTTTCCTGCACTTCTGGGTTCCTGATCATGAAAACAGCAAACCACCTAAGTGCTGTAGATGTTGTTTCCGTTCCAGCAACAAAAAGATCTCCCAAAAGTTTTATCAATTGTGCGTCTGTAAATTTAACGTTTTATTTTGTAATGCATCGTAATAGATCTTACGCAAAGCAAATTTTTTTTAGGTGTTTTTTAATTATTAAATTAGTTGTTCAGCATGTCTGTACCATTGTTTACATTAGCAATTCTTAATGTTACAACAAAAATCTTACATAAAGGACAAATTACATGCACAGATTTAGGATATGTCACTTACCTTCATATAAATGATTATCCCTACTATTTTACCAGGGGCCTTTTTCTACTAGGGGAACCGTGTTTCTTAGGGGTGTCCAATGTCATATTTTCTTTACTGAGTACACAAATTTGAAACTCTGAAAATCCCGTCCCGGGGGGGGGGGGGGGGTCCGAACCCAACCAGCCCCCTTCCCCCTCCCGATCCGCATATGATTCAGTTTAAACTATTCACTTTTTTCAGTCTAGTGAGACTTTTCAAAAGTGTGTCGGGATATTCCGTTCGGATGTTCGAATGTCCCATTGCTTTGAGTGATCTTTTCTGTACAAACTTTTTTCAGTCGTTGTGTCTGTGTGTCTGACCACAGAGCCTATTAATTTGCTATACCTTATTGAATACAGAATTTTCGGATAATAATTTCAGAACTCCTACAGCAAGAACATTTGCACTGGGAAAATAAATATTCATCAAGGTTGCAACATACCATAATATTTAACTTTGACTATCTTTAAAGAAGGCAAATATTTTATGACAAGCCCCATCGATCACAAAGAGCAGAAAAAAGATGAAAGTAAATTTACTGATCCCTACTGCTTTTGCTGCTAAAACCAAATACATATACTTCTTCAAACACACTTCACTTCGTGCAACTCCATAAGAAAGGCATGGATTTACAAACGTGTGGTATTAACTCGCCATCAAAAGTCGTGTTTGGGTTGCTCTCTTCCGATTTCATTTTCTTCAAATATACATCGATGAAATCTCTGACATTATTTTCATCAAAGCTTTCTTTGTGATCACTGATAATTTTTAAAAGATATTCTTCCACCACATCAACATTCTTCAATGCTTTCCTAATCTTTAATGGATCACCGGGAACATACCTTAAAAACGGAAGAATGCTCGCTAGAAACATCATATTTCCATTGTTTAAGTTTTCGTTAATTGTTTTGATGAGTGACGTGAAATATTTGTCATTATGTTCAAATCTTTCACCAAAGTTAATTGAACACATAATATTTGAGACGCATACAGTTATCAAAACTTGCATATTGAATGGTTGTCCATTTGTTGACTGAACTTCGTGGACAAAAACATCCACCTCCTCCAATATTTTAGATTCCATGCTTCGTTTTCCAAATCCAAACTCTCTGAGAGCATTTAGACTGAGTGTTCTTTGCTCTTTCCAAAATTCCCCCGAAGAGAGGATGACACCTATATGGAAATGGTGTATAATAATAAACATGAAACATGTATTGTTGGTTGTGTCGTTCATTATCCCTCGCCCTTTTACACACAAAGTCTTAATTTCTACTTATACTGGTATCTTTACATCATCAAAAGGAAGATTTTTTTTTAAATTTTAATACGTGTGTCTTCCAATAATTTACAATGTTCAATTGTTAATGAGTACATGACTAAATGTAAGTAAATTACAGAAAGACACGTCAAACATGAAGCCATTGCATTGTATTTTCAAAAAATCTGTACAAATTTTCAAAAAACAAACAAAACAAAAACTTGAAACAAGCAAACCAAACAAGGCAAAAAGAAAACAAAGGAAGAAAACAACAATATGTGTAGAAATTACTGGGTATTATTGTCATGTGAAATCTCACTGAGGTTAAGGAAGCTGAAAACATCTCCATACTTTTTTCTGTAAGTCTGGAAATTCTCCAACATAGTATCAGGAGACACAGAGAGTAGATTTCCTAGGAAAGGAATAGTGGGTGGACCCGGGGGTAAGGAGGAGTCCCTAGAGGTTTTCTTCCACCACACATACAAAATTATTACCGCACAAGCAAGAAAAAGGGTCCACAAATCTGCCATGATAATTTTTGCCTCTACAGTAACACAGAGTATGACACGCAATAGTGACCTTCTAAATTGGTTTATCTTTTTTCCAAAGAGATTCTGCTTTATTGACAGTTCTGTGTTTTTAACTGGCATTAAAAAGTAAGTGTACATGGTATGTTTCAGGGAAATTTACCTTACAGTATCGTCTAGGCTGAATGAAATATTTGCCTTAAGGCTTTTTTATCTTCGATCAAATCTAGAATTTTTCTTTGATCACACTTTCTTCAGATTTAACTTCAAATCTGTAGAAAATTTTTTTAAAAAATTAAATAAATAAGTAAATAAATAAGGATTTTTTTGTCAGCAGTACTTTACACATATTCTAATTCAATATTTAAACTGAAGCACTAAAAAAAGGGGGGTTGTTATCAATGCAAAATACTGGTTCAAGTCAGGTATACAGCTTTTTTGAAAACTCATTCATGGTACACTGCTGTAGATCATGAGACATTCTTAGATTCCAGTCAAAATTTCAGTTATTATTTAATATGAATATTTATTGTATACTAACATTAATTATTTGAATTTAAATAACATCAACAACATGGAATAGGAAGAAAACAATCCTTAATTTCCTTAAAGTGTTTTCTATGATTTATTTTAAAGAGTTTGACAGTGTACAAATTCTAACTCCTAGGACCTGATCTTGAGAAATAAGAATTCAATGATATATTTATATGAAATGTTTTACCGTACAAAACAATAAACAGAAAAATTACAACCCTGCACCAAGCCTTACACCACATCTTGATTTATCTATTATTAGGCCTGTAAAAATAAAATGACTACATATAGTGAACCTAAAATGATTGCAAGAATAAACTGTTTCGGGATTTGTTCCCTTAAATGTATATATATTTTAGAATAAAACCGGTGGGACCTGCAATCTCAAAGAAGCACAATTTCATGGGGGAGGGGGGCAAAAATGGCCAGTCTTTAAAATATACACAAGTAGATTTGAACTTCAATTCGTCTTTTTTGGTCAATATTTGCACAATTGATTCAACGACAATCACTACATCCTGTTAAAGAAGGACATCATGTGCACCCTCTACGAGTCACTGACTTTATGCATTTACATCTTACAATGTTCCAAAGATCATTAGATCGCAGGCACATTGGTTTTAACTGGAAACTATTTCCCACTGACTACATGCTACCCATGTTTCTATTTAATTCTGGCCATTTCCAGTCCACTTCAACATTGATGAGATTGTGGTACGTGTTTGTGGCTGATTTAGATGAGATTTGCTGCATTTGGATGAAACTTGAACAAAACTGATTTCTTCTATAAAATTCCTGTACCTAAGTCAAGTCCTTTTACCCGGAGAGACTGGAGATGATTACTTTACCAGAATCTCCTTCATTCATTTTGCTAAAAAAAAATTTAGCGGGAATCTGTGAAGATTGAGTTGAAGATCTCAGAGCAAGTCCGTGGTTTAAATTTCTGAAATAATGTGATACGTATTGTGTGGAAACTGGATTCGTATTTTGGCTGTTCAATACCCATACATGTACCAGGGTAGGATAATGGGTTCACACCTGACAATTCTTTACTTTTCCATCATTACATTCTATCGCAAATGTTGGTAAGTTACGTCCTTCAATGTGGGAGATATACAATCATAAACTTAAATTCTTTCTATGTGCGTATATTAGCATGATTTTCTTATTCCTTCTTAGGATGTCATGAACTTTCAGGTATAAATCTTTGCATATTTCTGCCCCGCCATGAATATGGCCGGGCATGTAGTGTTTATGTCCGTCTTTCCTTCCGTCACACTTTACACTAAGTTGTTTCAAAGAAACTATTCAAGATATTTTTATCAAATTTCATATGCTGATACATATTGATGAGAGATATTCAACAGCATTAATATATTTTGACCTTGATCTCACTTTTTTTTAAATTAGAGTTTAGCTCAGTTTCAAAGAAACTATTTAAGATATTTTTATCAATTTCCCTTGTTAGAAAGATGTCTGGTCTTTCGGATACAACATCTCCATGTTTTATGAATACATCCCGCAGGGTATCATATCCACTTACAACGAAAAGTATGGAACGCCGTCACTGCCTTATAGTATAAAACTATACATTCATTATGTCAACTTATCATTACGTGATGTGAGCATATCTTTACGTGATGTCAACTTTTTATGATGTGATGTAAAATATCTTAACATTATGTCAACACCGTATAACATGAAGTGAATATATTCTTCCATTATGTCAACACTGTATAATTTGATGTCAAAAGTTCATTATTTGAAGTGAAATATATTTTGTACATTGTGACAGAACTTTATTACGTGAGATTAATGTTTCTTGACATCATTTCATTTCTTTATTACGTGATGTCAAAATTGCATTACGTAAAGTATAAATATCTTTGCATGCATTCTTTATAATTCTATAAAATTAAACTTACCATATCTTGATGTGAGAGTATCTTTACATTACATCAAAGCATTATTACAAGATATTAATGTATCTTTATTTTACGCCAAAAGCATGATGATGTGACATGAATATATCTTAACTTTATGTCAATACTTAATTATGTGGTTCGAAAAAGTTAATTATATAATGTGAACATGTCTTCATATTACATCAACAATTTATTACATGATGTCAAAACTCCATTCCATGATGTGGATACATAGTAAGATTATTTTAACCCTTTCTGATGATGTAAAAATTTCTTTACATTGTGTTTACTCTTTATTATGTTGGTGCCAAAAGTTCATTATGTGATGTATGGTGGCATATTTATGCCATCCACATAATTTTTTGTCAACATAAAATATCGTGTCAAGTCAAGATAACTATCTCGTCGGGTCAAGATAACTTGCTGGTTTTGTCGAGATACACCAACTTCGATCTCGTCCAGTCAAGTTAAGCTATCACATTTTTTTGCGATAGCTATCTCGACATTACGAGATTATTTATCTTGTATCATGACTAAAATTGTTGTGTTGACACGTAATGCCTCTTCGTAATTGCTGTCACGATAACTGTTCACTCGTATATGTATGTATTTATTTATATAGATGACGTGTTACGGGTGTCTCAGTCGTTTTCCAGTGAAACTATGCGGATCTCTTTTATTGAAATTATTCTTCAAATTCATCACTGCTTTTGAACTAATTTAATTTTTGTAAGTGTCTATTGGAGAAATATAATTTCAAGAGATAAAGATTTTTGAATATAAACCGTTCCATAAACTTTCTCCGTTAAATATGAAACAAAACAACCAATTTACTTAATTCATAATTT